CACACACACACACACACACACACACACACACACACACACACACACACTCTTCATAAATAAAAACACAAAACGCTGGAAATACTCAGCAATTCAGGCAGCATCTGTGGAGTTTATTCTGTGGGTCCATTGCTATTCTCTTGCCCTCTCATTTTCCCAGGTAACCTCTCGAAGCAGCTCATTGAACCACATACATTGCACTCTGTGTTCGGTTTCCTCACTATGGTTTAGATTTCCAATCAGGATGGAATTAACATGAAGCTTGCACTGACCTTGACAGTCTCCATCCAGCGTTGTTGCTTGAGCTGGTAGTAAACGACCGATTGGTAATAAGTGACAGGTTTATCTCCGGCCCCTTGGCATATGGCATTCTGGGTATTGGAGAAAAAGAGAATTTTTTTTTAAATTAGAGCAGCAATTTCCACAAAGCCACGCTTTTCACAAATGATTAATACTGCTCGCTACATCGTTTTGAGATAAAAGTTCCATCTATTGCCAGTCCATGCTACAAGTACTTCATTAATAATATGTCTAGAGTGGATGGTAAAATTGATTACTTCTTGAGAAAGCACAGTGTGACATTCATGTAAGGCTGCAATAATGACATTACTTATATAGAGACGACAGGTTGTATTTTAATAACGACAAACTGCTTAGAGAGATGACATCCCCTCAGACACTATAACAGGCAATACTTCTTTCGTTCTTGCCACTTGTGAGGTGGAGACTTGACAACATGGGAATAAAAAAAACAACTTTCTCTGTGACAAAGCACACTGCGCTTTGGTCTATAATGGGTTCAGATGTGACACTGAGGCAGAATGTAATGGGTTTACGTATTACTACCAAAGCTTGATCACAAAATCTGAAGTTGAACTGGAGTAACTGGGAAACAGAGGGAAAAGGCTCCACTGGTCAGGGTCATACCTGGCACATAGAAAGAGGGTTGTGGTTGTGGGAAGTCAGACCCAGGACATCTCTGCAGGAGTTCCTCAGGGTAGCATCCTAGGCCCTTCAGCTGCTTCATCAATGACCTCCCCTCCATTACAAGGTCAGAAGTGGGATGTTCATCGATGATTGTGCCATATTCAGCACCATTCACAACTCCTCAAATACTGAAACAACCCATGTATAAATGGACCCTGGACTTAATGCTGGTTTGTTCTGGCAAAGTGGCAAGTAACATTCATAGGATACATTTACACCACACAAATGTCAGGCGATCAACATCACCTACAAGAGAAAATCTAACCATCACCCCTTAACATTCAATGGCATTATCATTGATGAGCCTCCACTATCAACATCCTGCAGGATACCATTGACCAGAAATTCAATTGGATTTGCTATAAAAATACAATAGCTAAACAGCAGGTTAGAAGCTAGGAATACTGCAGCGAGTAACTCAACTCCTAACTCCCCGAAGTCTGTCCACCTTCTACAAGACACAAGGCAGGAGTGTGATGGAATACTCCCCACTTGCCTGGATGAGTGCAGCACCAACAACACTTAAGAATCGTGACAGCGCATAGAATAAAGGAGCCCACTTGATTGTCACACAGCTACAAATATCTACACTTGATGGAGTTTAGAAGGATGAGGGGGGATCTAATTGAGACTTACAGAATACTGAATGGCCTGGACAGCGTGGATGTTGGGAAGATGCTTCCATTGGTAGGAGAGACTAGGACCCGAGGGCACAATCTTAGGGTAAAGGGAAGACCTTTTAGAACGGAGATAAGGAGAAACTTCTTCAGCCAGAGAGTGGTGAATCTACGGAATTCAGTGCCACAGAAGGCTGTGGAGGCCAGGTCATTCAGTATATTTAAGACAGAGATAGATAGATTCTTGACTGTCAAGGGGATCAAGAGTTACAGGGAGAAAGTGGGAGAATGGGGTTGAGAAACTTATCAGCCATGATTAAATGGCAGAGCAGACTCAATGGGCTGAATGGCCTAATTTCTGGTCCTATGTCTTATGGCCTTATGGTCTTCCCTCCACCACCAATGCTCATTAGCAGCAGGGTGCACCATACAAGGTGCATTACATAAAATTACCAATTCTCCTTAGGAAGCTCCTTCCAAACGACAACCACGACCATCTAGAAGGACGAGGGCAGCGGATACATGTGAACACCGTCACCTGCAGGGTCCCTTTCCCAAGCCACACACCATCCTGACTTAGAGACATATTGCCGTACCTTCAATGTCACTGGGTCAAAATCCTGGAATTCCCCCTAACAGCAGTGTGGGTGCATGAAATGGACATTTTTTGTTTCAAAAAGGTAGCCCATCTCCATCTTCTCCAGGGCAATTAGGGATGGGTAATGAATTCTGGCTCAGCCAATGACAGCCACATGCCATGAACAAGTAAAAAAATGCACTGGACCGAGAGTCCCAACGCAGTGTGAAGGGGCAGGCTGCATTATTGGAGGTATCATTTTTGGGATGGGATTTTAAACTAAAATCCCATTTGTCTTTTCATGGGGAATATATCCCAAGCACTACTTCAAAACGTGGCTTCGAGGTTCTCAAAAGAACATGAAGCGAGAGCAAGAATAGGCTATTCAGCCCCTCAAGCCTGCTGTACCATACAATAAGACCTAATAATGGCCTTGGAACCATTTTCATGTCTGTCCTGCATAAACCAGATAGTGCATTCTACTGAGCAGAGGAGGTCAAAGATCTGTACTGAGTAAAAAAGAAATCCCAGCTGGTCATAACTCCAGTCAAGAGCACAGCAGAAGTACAAGAACCAGGCTGCTTCTAAAACATCATGAAGTAGAGCACGGATAGCCTCAAACAGTGCTACCTCGTTGACTCTCGGAGAGCCCTGCAGTGTTCAGGTGAGTAGGTATCTAGGTCTGCAGTGCCTGCTGCAATCTGTTACAACCTGCTCAAAGCCCAATGTGATGAAATTATTAAATAGCAATTCCACTAACATCGACTACACCTCCCCGTTCACCAGCACTTCCACACTCTCTGTTTTCCATCTCAATAGTCATGACTTCATCCTCTTTCTGTGAACAATTATTTGCTCCTTTCTCAGTGCCTTGCAGATCCAGAAACAAATGCCAAAATTTTATCAAGTGAATCATTACATTATCTGTCCTTTGCCTTCCTTCACAGGTCAGTGAACATGGGGGCTGGCTCTTAAACCACCTACTCCTGCGGATGGGCTGGCTGCAACAAAAACACAGGCTTGGCATGTGGTGCCAACCAGGAAAATTATGACCCAACCAGGAAAATCCTGACAGATGGTGCTAGGTTCAATTCATGTCAGTGAAGCAGATTAGCCTGTCACTATCTCATTGCTGATTGTGGGACTTTGCGTTGTGTAAAGTGACTGCTGTGTTTCCTACAATTGAGGGTCTCTCTTCCTTTTAAGTATGCTGCACAAAACTAATGCCATACCTCAAACTACCCACATACTACATCCCAACATGGGCTCTTCTCAAAGAAATCTATCCAATTTGCATCTAAATGAATCTGTGATAACAGAAAAAATCATCGCCCTGGGAAAACTGCTCCAAAGACTGCTTTTCTCATTGAAATACTGCTCATAGATTACTTTCAGAATTTATGCCTCATTCAAGGACCGGCCACGTCCTCTTGTTGTATTGTACTGGACAAAGTGAAATAGCTTCTTACAGCTGCTCCCCTTAGAACCTTTTAATCTATATTTGTCATTGAATACCTTTGTGATTTACATAATCACTCTTTGTAATCCAATCCCTTCATCATTGGAGTTGCTCTCACCCAAATTTAGCACATAGAACATAGAACAGTACAGCACAGTACAGGCCCTTCGGTCCACGATGTTGTGCCGACCTATTATCCTAATAAGATCAATCTACCCTGCATACCCTACATTTGTTCAGTCAGTGTAAACCCTTTCTTACTGTGGTGACCAGAACTGTACAGAATATTCCAAGTGTCACTGATTTACACAGTAGCAGAATTACCTCACTGTTTCAAGCACACCAATGCCTCTACTTCCTCAGGAGGCTAAGAAAATTTGGCATGTCCATAAGGACTCTTACCAATTTTTACAGATGCACCATAGAAAGTATCCTATCTGGATGTATCACAGCTTGTACGGCAACTGCTCTGCCCAGGACTGCAAGAAACTACAGAGAGTTGTGAACACAGATCAGTCCATCACGAAAACCAGCCTTCCATCCATTGATTCCATCTACACTTTCCACTGCCACAGGAAAGCAGCCAACATAATCAAAGACCCCATCCTCCCCACTTACATCCAGTTCTATCCTCTTTCACCGGGCAGACGACATAAAAGTTTGAAAACACGTACCAACAGACTCAAGAACAGCTTCTTCATTGCTGTTATCAGACTTTTGACCGGACCTCTCGAATGTTAATTCTGATCATTTTCTCTGCACCTTCTGGATGGCACAGTGGCTCAGTGGTTAGCACTGCTGCCTCACCACACCAGGGACCCCGGGTTCAATGCCAGCCTCAGGCAACTGTCTGTGTGGAGTTTGCACGTTGTCTGTGTGGGCTTCCTCTGGGTGTTCTGCTTTCCTTCCCAATCCTTAGATGTGCAGTTTAGGTGGACTGAGTGTGGGCCAGAGCAATGCAGGTGGATCAAAAGTGAGCAGCCCAGAGCAGGCTAATGACGCGACAGTGGCAAGATAGGGCCAGGGAGGCACCCCAGAACGGGACTCTTGGGGAGACATGGCAAGGGCTGGAAAGCCTGGATTGGTACTCTGGCAGAGGCATGGAGAGGG